GGCTAATCGACCAGTGGTCCTACGCTCCAGCAGGCCAAGTCAGCGCTCTATAACAGTAGAGACGATGCGCCGCACCCGCACATACGTTAACTGACCGAACCGGGAAAGGTGTTAATTCGTTGGTGACACCGAAGCGTGATTCATACACTTCGGAGGGAGGTACACGCAGTGTTGTGTCGTCAAAAAAAGAGAAACACTGCAAAGTGACTCACAGGGGATAGCCCGGATAGTAAGGTTTCTCTCTTAGTTCCTGTGACTTAACAGGGCTAATGCTTGTTTGTTCAAGACGGACAAAGCCCGAAGCAATTGAATTACCAAAGCTGAACTAGCAGTGGCAGAGTTCAGTTCTGGGCTATCGTCAGGGATATAGGCTTCGAGGAATCCACCGACTGTGTTTCCGGCTATACCTTCCCGCTAAAGAAGTGTCTTGGACGAAAGCATGTGACGTTGAATTAATGACATGCCGTCCGGATTATACTAAGGTTTGGTGTCGTGCTCAGTGAGATCAGATCACCCAATTGTAGGGTTAGACCCTGTTATGTACTATTAGCCTGCCCCCTCGAGGCGTTGTTCTTGAGCAGGGCTGGATGGTCCTTGCGGCGTGAAACGATCATTGTCAGATGACTGAAGGTTAGCGACCTGTCATCATGGAGCGGAAGCCGTACGTCGAAGAGAGTGATTGCAACTTGGTCAAAGATTTTCAATAATGACGCATGGGTCACCCTTCGATATCTGAAATCTGCAACAGATCGTGTCTGGCCTTGGCGCTCGGGGGCCGTGAGCTGTGCGCTGACGTTTCAGATGCCAATGCTTAACAGTACATCGATCAGATGATACTAATATGATTTGAGTTAGTGCATGCTCCTCTGTTCATGGTGCAGATCTTGTTTGATATTGTAATTCACTAAGCAAATGTTCTCCACGTGAGATACACGAACCAGGACACCGAAGGTAAGGTGAGTGCGCGGTCTCAAGGCATACTACCCGCGTGCTTCAACGTACGCTATCTCTAACCAGATTGATTTTCATCCAGGGATTTATAAATAATTTGTCATAGGAAGTTTCCAATCGAAGCCCAGTGAAAGTAAATCGTCATAGATGTTCAGTATCCCCGCGGGATCTGTTGCCGCGGGAGTGCATAAGTGCGGGTCATCTTACGTTTGGATGATCCCGCGGCCAACAATCTGACTTTACCGACGCAACATCAAATACTCCAACTTGCCCCAGGTAAAGTTGTGTTCCCTGAGCGACACGAGTGTTTGATATCCCTTCACAGCAACATCTTCATACGCGCTTTAGTACAGGGACGTGCTTCATCGTTCACCTGAAGATCACCATGGCCCTGGCCGACCGTTGTGATATCCTCGTCGTCGGTAGTGGAAACGCTGGCTTTTCCGCCGCTATTTCTGCTGCCGAAGCCGGCAGTGCGAGGGTACTGCTCATAGACACATGCCCTGAGGAGTGGGCTGGCGGCAACACTTACTTTACGGCCGGTGCATATCGCACCGTTCACGGAGGCTTGCAAGACGTCCTACCTCTTGTAAACAACGTCAGCCCTGAGCAAATAGCAAACATTGAACTTGCTCCCTATCTCGAGCAGAATTTCTCGGACGATATTGAACGTGCCTGCTCCAGTAGGTCTGACCCTGAGCTGGCACGTATTCTTGTGAAGGATTCCAACTCGACCATCAAATGGCTGGCCAGCCATGGGATCCGCTTTCAGTTGTCTTTCAACCGACAAGCATACGAGGTGGGAGGAAAGATCAAGTTTTGGGGCGGTATGTGTCTGAAAACGCAAGACGGAGGAAAGGGTCTTGTTGCCGATTTCCGGGCCGCCGCCAAAACCAGCGCAGTGACAGTTTCATGGTCCACGACCTTGATTAGTGTCCAGAATGACTCCTCGTCCGGCCACTCCATTATAACAGTCGAGAAAGATGGGACGCAGCAGACCATCGAGGCCAAGGCCATCATCTTCGCTGCGGGGGGGTTCGAGTCAAATCCCCGCATGCGCAGCGAGCATCTCGGGCCTGGGTGGGATAGGGCCATGGTTCGCGGCACGCCCTTCAATACAGGTTCCTGTCTTGAGCTGTGTCTCCGCGATCTGAACGCCAAAGCAGTCGGAGATTGGTCTGGATGCCACTCAGTCGCGTGGGACGCAGCCGCGAATCCGACCACAGGTGACCGCGAGGCGTCCAATGAATACACCAAGTCGGGCTACCCACTGGGTCTGATGATTAACGTTCACGGGCATCGCTTTGTGGATGAGGGAGTTGATTTCCGCAACTACACGTACGCGAAATTTGGCCGAGCTATCCTCTCGCAGCCGGAACATGTTGCCTTCCAGATTTGGGACGCCCGTGGCGCTGAGTGGCTGCGAGACGAGGAGTATCGACCTGAGCGGGTGGAACGCATCATGGCTGATAGTATCGAATTACTGGCCCAGAAATGTGTTCCGCGAGGCTTGCGCGATGCCGAACAATTTAGCAGGACTGTCCAGGACTATAACGAAGCCGTCTACGGATTCCAACATGAAAACCCGGACGCCGCTTGGGATCCTGCGGTCAAGGATGGCTACTCGACACAGTCTTCAATGAGGAGACTAGACCTACCCAAGTCAAACTGGGCTTTACCATTGGACCATGGTCCCTTTGTCGCTGTCAAGGTCACCTGCGGAATAACTTTCACTTTCGGTGGCTTGCAGATCGAGCCCGAGTCAGCACAACTTGTCAGTGCGAAGGACGGAAATTCGATGCAGGGGCTCTACTGCGTGGGCGAGATGATGGGAGGGTTGTTCTATGGGAACTATCCTGGTGGGAGCGGCTTGATGTCAGGAGCTGTCTTTGGTAGGCGTGCCGGTCGAGCCGCTGCCGAAGCTATCTTGAAGTCAAGTACTGGTCCGATTTAAGACGAAGAATGCCTCTAAAACCGCCGCCGTCTAAATCATGGGACATCAGTGGTGGAACACAGATAACTTTGGTTCCTGGGCTTCAAAGTGAGCTCGAATCCTGAATCAGAATAGCGAAGATGCGATCATTATAGGCCTTATCCGGCGATTCGATATGACGAAATATATCCTACAAACCTCTCTAAAAGAATCTCGAGCTGTAGGGCTCGTATGCCGTATTCAGATCCTTCTTGCCTCTGTTGTCCAGAGGCATCATGGCGATGTCGCCCTGTCCGCCGTACCCATCATCGCCCGACGTCCTAGATGGAAAGGCACGCGGCTCGAAACTCAGACTTTCCCGTCGCGACCCATACGTGCCTTGCTGTTCTCGGGGTACCAGGTGCTGCTCATCATCCGAGAGATCGCCCGACCTCGCTCCTCCACCTCGTGTTGTGGCCCTGTCTCCATGACGTTCTGCGCTAGGCTGTTTCCCGATGCCAATGTACTTCTGACGACCCCAAGTCTGCACTCGGTTGAGCAGACCCGACCCAGGTCCAGCCGATTCGTGCGCCTGGCCAGTGACATGTCCGCCAGCGCCAGATCTGTGCTTTGTATCGAAGGATAAGTCAGGATTGCGTCTCAAGGATTGATCACGTGGTCTGAAACTCGTGAAGACAGCGGCAAGTAGAGCGAAACCAAAAGATAGCCAGCTGGGTACCAGCAGTAGACCAAAGTCCGAGTCGATGCCAATCGGGTCCAAGTCGCTGTCAATGGCTTTACTGAGATGCTGGTAAATGTATTTGCCCCGTTCCTGAAGCGACGAGGAGAAGAATGGCGGCGAGCCAAGATAAGAAGACGCCGGCGAAGCCGATGATATGAATTTTGGACCCGAACACAGAGAGAATGGGCCCAAGGATGGCGAAAGTAATACCTGCTATGTAGCAAAAGCCAGAAACTTGTGATATTCTTTTCGTA